GTAGACAAAAATTGCTTGAGTTGGGGCAATTCCTCAGGCATGGAGTAATTCTTGGTTAATTTACTGAACTCAGCATAAGCCCGAATTGGGAAGAAGTTTGCTCTCATATCACTTCTTGCAAAAAGCTGAACTAGCTTTGATTCTTCCCCTCTAGTGACCGACGTACGAAGGGTGAATAAGCCTTTCATGTCAATAGATACTTTGCCTGTAATAATTTTGTACAAACTTATGAAATCCAACTTCTTCAGTCCACACGCAAGAGATTCTATTCCGAAAATCTTGTTACAGGCAATTTAGCTGGGAATATAATTGTAATTGAAGCCAAGGGCTCGAATAAAAACTTTTCTAGTGAAGCTATTTTGAACTAACTCCAACCTGGTGGTCAATTTTTTTTGCAATAGAAATATTTTCTTTCTTTCTTTTTCTATTTATTTTTTTAGAAAAAATTTTTGCAATATTTTTGCGATAGAAAACCATAGAACCATGCTCCAAAATGGGGCGAATACCTGATTTGTGGGCTTTGATGAGGACACAAGGATCTTTTGTGTACAAGCTGTGCTAATCTACCCTCAGCTTTATGAACTAACGACGTGATGTGAGCATCAAAAGACAGCTTTTTATCAATTAGAAAACCCAAATCTCTGACGACAGTGAGATTTTTAAGTTTAGATCCATCGACGTAACTATTAACTGTACCCCGAGCCTTTCCTAAGCTGAGAACTGAGGTTTTATTTGGGACAGCGGCACCTCCCACAGTTTTGGCCACTTAACAACTCTTTCAATAGCTCTTTTAACAAAAATGGAACCCACTTCTGAGGCTATAGTATTATAAATCTTAACATCGTCAGCAAACACCTTACACTTTACATAATTTTGCTCAAATGCACTAGGGAGATCGTATGTATATATACAAAATAACACCGAAGAGAGCACCCCTTCCTGCGAAACTCCACTGGGCACTGCCCTGACGGTGGAAAAGGTGTTCCCAATCCGAACTTGGAACAATCGTCCATTCAAATAACTCTCAATCCATGCTGTATTCCGGGGTGGATTCCAACATGTTTGAGCTTCTAAATAAGCTTACTATGATTCACCTTGTCAAATGCCTCGCAAAAATCAAANTAAACCACATCAACACCCTTCTTTTTCTCTGAAGCATCTGTCTGATCGTTTAAACTCTCTAGCAACTGAGTCACTGTCGAATTGGCTTTCCTAAAGCCATGCTGACAATCGGGAAGAACACGCTGCTTTTCAAGATGTCCCACAATGCTCCTTTTGATTAGTTTCTCAAAAGCTCTTCAAAAGATAGATGTAATGCTTGCAGGTCTGTAATTAATTGCTGGGTATCGAATGCGGAGGCTTTTTTGGAATAGGAATAACATATGATAACTTCTACCTGTTAGGCACTTCAGTTCGAAACAAACGTAAATTAAAGATAAATTTCAAAGGGCCTACCATAGAGGGCAATATTTTCCTGATGAAGCGAAAAGGAATACCGTCAAAGGTGATGGTGGAATTGGATTTCCATTTGGAAAGAACATCAATGGTTTTCTGGGCATTAAACCAGTATGAGACAACTATTCGTTGGAAAACCCCAGGTAACATCATATCAACACTAGGATTCCTCTTCTTCAACAAAAACTTTCGGAAAAGGTTAGGAGAAATATTGCGCTTTCTCTGAGTTGGAACAGATGATTAAACCATGAGCTGTCTGTAATGTTGGAATTCTCTTTTTTGACTCGGTTCTGAAGGAGTATATTCATACTAAGCAGCGCTCCCACTATCGATTATTTGCTTCTCTACCGAGCCATAAAAATTATACATTTTACTTTCGAACCTTTACGCTGAGATCGAGTAACTATTCCAATCACTGGGACTATTAGTCACAACTGCTTTCTTATACGCTTTAGCGTTCCTGTCAAAAAGGGGGTGAAGGAAGCGTGGCACCTGCGCTTGGCACAGTCCCACTTTACGTACTAGAACATATCTGACAATGTATTGTTGAAGTACATAAAGAACCGACTCATACATTTCGTTTTCATTCAAACATGTGAATGAGCTATACCAATCAATCGAGTCCAAGAGCCTTAATATTTCTTCATAGTTCGCTTCTTTGAGATCACGAATAAAGGCAAATTTTCTCATGTACCTACGCGAATTTAGACAAAGCTCTCTGCTCGCGTGATCATTAGTTCCTACTGGGGGAACAACTTCTACTCTTCTGACGATAGATCGATCAGTAGAGAATAGAAGATCTAAAACCTTCGATCCTCTGGTTTGGACCCTTACACACTGATGTAAGCCATGATTCCTGACCATATCCAAGAACTTTTGGATTATTCCCAAGCAGCGACACCCGCGAACCCTCCAGTCAATATCAGGGAAGCTGAAGTCCCCCGTGAGGATACAAATTCTAGCATCCACACAAAGGTCACTAATGCATTCATTCAATTCTTAACATTAATCATCAGTGCAACACGGGGCTATAACATAGGATTATCCTCAAATTACAGCCTTCAGAATAAGTGTCAGCAGCAACAATCTCAGAATAAGTGCCAGCAGCAACCATCAGGAACAGACTCCCCAAATACAAACACAGGACAAGGTATGTGGCTGACGCCACGCCTCCACCCTTCTTACGTTTCCGATCACATCTGAACACTGCATAGTCCACCGCAACCACACCGAGTAACGGAGTAATTTCAAATTGGTTTTTAACCATGTTTCCGAAAGAGCTGTTATTCCAATGTTGGTCTTGGAAGGCAGAAATACGAGAGAATGGACATATTTAAAGAAGTTGCGAATGTTCGTTGACAAACACTTCATGAATTTTCGGGAGCTCAGCCAAGCACACGATTGAAAAAGATAATGGTCCCTAGAGGAGCAGACCTGAAACCGCGGAAAGTCAGCTAGTTTCCCTGAAGATGAACATTACTATTCGCAGAATGTGTACTAATACAATTGACCGACTTAACAGGAGTAAGCTCACTATCATTCAGGTGAACATCATTCGTTGCATTGAAAGGCCAAGCGAGCCTCTCATCTTCGCTTCCTCTCCTCGAGAGGCAGTGCTTCCCTCACAAACACGCCCCTGCCAGGGAAGGTTCGGAGGCGAGGAGCTCTCTGAATCGCAGTTTTTTGAAATCTGAGAGAAGGAAAGACGACTTTAAGTAACCTATTCCTGCCTATTCCTCCTTTCACTAAGTCTATAAACTGTGACAGGATCGCAATCAACCTCCAAATGAGTCAAAATGTTAACAACACTCTGATAATAATACTGAACGTGATCGAACAATTTCATTCCAAGAACCTCAGAGACCCCACTCATAACTACTGAACGCTTTCTCTCAATTTCCTCGGATAAGCTACGTACAGTGCTCGCCGTAAGAACTCGAAAAATCACGCGAATACCGCGAATTCGCGTATTTTTCGTCTTTTTTCTATAAATCGCTTTAAAATGGAGTAATCGAGAAGATATAGGCACCGTTGCACTCAGCTCGTCAAGCTCTACAAGATGATGTCTTAAAAAGTTGGAAATGCTTTATTTTGGATTGCGCCATGCACATGAGCTCCATCTGAAAAGTGACTGCATGTACATGGAGTGCACGCTTTAGTGATTGTAAGGGCTGATTGGTCCCTGAAGATGATGTCTTTAGAACTCGCTTTGGATAGCGTCACGTACTCGACTTTGCTCATCAGTACAATGTGAAAATGACTGATTGGTTTTGTTCAGTCTCCATCGTTCCTTTTTGAGTTGGAGGCTGTAGATAACTGCACTCAACACTCCTATTTACAGGTCCCATTGAGTATATGNGTGCACGCTTAAGTGCTTGTAGGGGCTCATTGGCCCCTGAAGATGATCTGTTAGGAATTTGCTTCGGATTGCGCCACGTTCTCGAGTTTACTGAGTACAATGTGGAAATGATTGTTGGTTTTGTTCAGTCTCCATCGTTCCTTTTTGAGTTGGAGGCTGTAGATAACTGCACTCAACACTCCTATTTACAGGTCCCATTGAGTATATGATACCAACTTACGGCAAAATAACGGAGTCGATTTTTTGGCACATTCCACTTTTGGAGAAATTTTCCTACGGAACCTGAGGAGATGGCGTTGATGCACTCCTCTATCGTAGACATCTCTTTGACCTCTGCGAAACTGTGATGGTACGTCCTATCATAGATCAAAATTTCTCCCTTGGTATGGTCTCAAACTTCAAACGTCGTCAATCTCAAACCATCAAATGCCGCACATCCCGCTACTACAGAACCCGTCCACTGAAGCAATCATCAATCGATCAACCCCCTTCTCGCAACTCTAGAACCCCGCCAACTGCAGACCTAACCCCCCATTAGAATNTATCCTTGTTCAAATGGTTATAAAGGAATTATATCATTACGGGTTGACCCATAAATCAGTCGATAGCATTTTTCACAGGGAATCTAACAGTGTATAACAGCTACAAAAAGGCCCAACGGTAAGGAGAAAACATTTTTTTATGATTTGGGCTTGACGAAGTTCAAAGTTTGAGTCCATACCAAGGAAGAAATTTTGATCTATGATAGAGTGTACCATAACAGTCTTGCTGACAACAAGGAGATATCTACGACGGTGGAGGGCCCCAACGCCACCTCCTCAGGTTCCGTAGAAAAATTTCTCCAAAAGTGGAATGTGCCAAAAAAATCGACTCCGTTATTTTGCCGTAAGTTGGTGTCCTATACTCAATGGGACCTGTAAATAGGAGTGTTGTGTGCAGGAGCTCCAGATGCAGTTATCTACAGCCTCCAACTAAAAAGGAATGATGGAGGCTGAACAGAGCCAATCAATCATTTTCATATTGTACTGAACAAAGTCGAGTACTTGACGCTATCCAAAGCGAATTCTGAACACATCATCTTCAGGGACCAATAAGCCCCTACAAGCACTAAACACGCACCTCATGTACATGCAATCACTTTTCAGATGGAGCTCATGTGCATGGCGCAATCCAAAATGAAGCATTTTTAACACTTTAAGATGTTTTGGGTGTGGGCGCCAGTTCGAGGATCGACAAAATTATCCAAGTGATTTACGGTGATGTGTCGATATCCTACAGGCAATTTAGACAGCTGCGAGCATGCTCTCCATGAATCGGACATTATTGTTGTTCCTGGTCGGATGATTTTGAGAATAATGTTCGTGAGAGTAGCAGCATCACGGCGCCTCACCAAAACCATAAATGCCCGGCCACTACCTCCCTCGATACCTCCGAACAGCCACTCCTTTCTCCTCACAATTCTGCCACGGTTGTACTACCTTCGCGTGACGTTCGCTTTGTCTACTTCTACGATTGCTCCTGGTCCGCCCAATGATTGGAGGATGCCCTCTATAGAACCGAGAACAGAGTTCCTCAAGCAACGCTCTCAACAGATTAACATCTTCGTACTCACGCCAAGCTCGAATGACTTGGTTTGGAAGGATCTAAATTTACGGAAGCAAAAGTAGGCAGTTGCAAAGATGGTTCACTCGAATGGTCGAATGTTCATGGATCTAGAGCACATTGGGCACACTAGGAATTGCTTGTAGTCCTTAGCTTCGTAACCGTGCTTGAAAGTCGTCTGCATTCAGTTTCAGCTTTCCAAAAAAAGTCCAACCACTTCATATCCTTCAACTCCATCATGCGATTATGGCGATGCAGAGCGTTGAGAGCCACGTTTGATGCAAATGGAAAATTCATGAGTCTGGCAACACTACATTTAATATTGGCGCCAAAGCGCGCCATCGGTTTTGGCGCGTATTCTAGCGACATTGCATCCCACAACATCCCCTCACTCAAAAGAAGCGTAGCGGGGCGCCAGACATTTTCATGACGAATGGATGCGATATTCAAGTTCTACGGGACAAATTAGCTCTCTAGGCAAGCTTCTAGCCGGTTTCAACTTCTTGAAAAAATTCGATAAAAATCCAGCCTATTCTCTACAAAGTGGGGCAGTAAAGGGTAAATAGTGTCTATTTTCTACTAGTGAAATGTATGGTTCTGTCAGTTTCGTTTTTGCCGCTATCAGGGTTGTAGTGGTTAATTTTCATGTTGCACCGTCATCTGATTTAATTGGGTTGGTTGCTAGGCTTTCATTTTCATTATCACCATTCGAGATATAAATGCGGCCTGCTCTTTGATTTGAGTCCAACGGCTACTCACTGCTTTTTTGTCTACTCACTGTTCATAACCTCTTGGAAAAAAATACGAAATAACAATAAGCAGATAAAAACACCGAGATTTGAAAATATAAGAGGCATAAGAATAAACAGTAATAATAGAATTCTGAGCTTGTTTGGTAAAAAAAAGCAAACATAGCATGGTAGCATCATCAAAATATACTGGTTTCTGACAAAAATGAAGCAAGCTAGATTGCTAAATTATTACGCAAATATACACGCTATGGTGACACTTCATGTACCAGCATGAAGGTAATGGAATTTTGTGTAATCATATGGATAAAACAGAGTAACAATTCGAAACTCGCAGTCGACAAAATCCCGAGAATCCAGCTGTTACCAGCATAACCGATAAAATCATAGATAATTAGAAGAGTTCACTTGCCACTAAAGTAATAAAGGTTCCACTCGTTCTCTTTTATGCAGATTATCAGAAAAGAGAAAACAATCGCCTCTAAAACAACTCTCGAACTCGGTGACGCGGAAGTTCTCCATTTCGGAGAGTTTTGTCAATATGCGGAATCGTTTAGGTAATGAGGTATGTTGTGTTTCCAAGAATCAATAGCCAGAAGGAAAAATAGCGTGTGGTATAAAGGAAACCATCTATATGTTAGATAGGAAGTTATGCGTTAAGGACGACATAATAAAGAATATGCAGTAAGGAAATAGAAGCAACTGAACACATTCCATTAAAACCCATCACAGGAACGTACACAGACGAAATCAAAGGATAAAGGTTGAAATTACTCAAAACAAAGTTGAAGAATGTTTTTCACATTTGCCATAAATACATCAACAATAGTAGGGAGATTGTTAAAAGAAAAAGAGTAAGACGTGTGCTCAAAAGGTTTCCACGCATAGTTAAAGGTACAAAGTGAACACAATTCTTCAAAACAAAGTCAGAGGGTGCTGTGAAATTGAACAGGAATACTTTTATGATCCAACATGAAAAACGTGTAAAAAAAAGTAACAACTCAAAGTTTGTTCATAAAAAGTAACTGAGTGTCACTATTGGTGAAGGTCATGGAACGCATGAAAAGATATCCACCCAGAAAAACATACTTCACAAAGACCTATAAAAACACCTCAATGGCTCTGCAATAAAGGATGCGTCAAAAACGCTAATATTTTAACAGAGACATTTAAAATCAATGCTCTGGAAGCATATCAAGACAAAATGATTCGCTGAATGTACGTTTCCAGGAATCAGACGGATCAGAGTAGCATTATATATTCTAGACTGCAATCTCGATAAGACAATGGAGATCATTTTGACTTACTGTTAGCAGTTGCACCCAATCGATACAGCTCAGTTAGAGGACCGTTGTCAACCGCGCATAGAGTGATGCTAGGTCGCGCTGGCCACTCAAGATGAGAAGTATACGCCGTAGGTGGTTTTAAGCACTGAACTTCAATCTGGGTTCCAAATCTTCTAAACGACTCTCGGAATAAAATTACGGGCCTAGTTTCCCTAGGTGTCATGTCACTTTGTTGCTTTTGTATGAAAATCAAGCAGTGCTGAACGTGCAGCGATGACGCACTAGGCAAGACAACGAGCTGGTAGGTGAGACACGGAGGTTCGAGTCATTAATGCATGCGCTTGTTTTGCTTTTTCTAATAAAAAGTGCCCAAACGCTTGCAGAGCCTTTTTAAGCATTATACAGACTATCTACAGCCCTTCTTCATGCTTATGGAGCACCAGAAATGCTAATACAAGAATTTTTTTTGTTGCCTCCACAGACTAAATAGAAGCGTGCATAGAACCCTTCTGCTCGGGCACGTAAAATGTGGTCACGAAACTCAGTAGCTCCATACATTTTCAAAAGAGGGAGGTTGAATGACTCGTCAGACTATAGCGCTTTTGAATTAAGTAATGCCCTCTCTAAGGGTAGAAGTGAACTGGTACAATTCAGATGCCATTTTTATGCAAAAATATCATCGGAACAGTAGGGAGCATTTTATGAACAGATATGATAATACAACACAAAGTGTTTAAAACAGAAAAGCTTCTCACATTGTAGCAACGCATAAAAGTTGTTCACCTCACCCAGCTCCCGTTTAGATGAGATGAGAAAGAGTATTGCACAAGAGTTTTAAATTTTCCCCGGTCCTTATTTGCCAGGTTGCGATTGCTGATGTGGAACTTCAGATCAGTAGCAATTACGAAAGGCATACACTCACACATGGCTTCAAATATTAAGAAAAAATATACATCGAGAGGCTTAATTCGAGAAGTTGCTTAAGGTGGAATGCTAAGCACTTTCACCGCCTTGCCAGTTGGCAAGTTGGCAACGCACCCCGAATTGCTTTATGGTCCTTGAAAGCGCTCCATTAGCCAACAATCAGTATAGATGAAGGCAAACTAGTTGGTCCTACGCGTGATCTAACAAAATCCAGCATGAATTTCTGCAAAATCACTTGACCGCATCTTGAGCGCCGGGAGTAGAAAGGTGTATGAGCACTCCTCTGTTCGGTCTGTGGAGCCAATGGAAAAATTCACTTGTGTAAGCAGGTCTGCTGCTCCATAAATTCGAAGGAAGGCTGTAGGTAGTTCTCATGATGCGTAAAAAGGATTTGCAAGCGTTGGAGGCACTCTTTATGGAAAAGCAAAAAAAGCGCATGCAACAAGATTCTGAACCTCCGTGACACGCCTCCCAGCCTGTTGTCTTCCCAACTACGCCATCGCTACACATATAACACGGCTTGTTTCTCGTATAAAAGCAACAAGGTGAAATGACACCTATGGAAACTAGGCGCCCAACTTCGTTTCCAGAGTAGCTTCGCTGATTTGGAACCCAGATTCGAGAGCAGCACTGAAAGTGCTTAAGTCGGTACACATCTCATCTTGAATGGCCACTGCGACCTAGTGTCCTTTCTTTGTCAGAATTTTGTGTCGTTTTCTCTGCCTCTTCTTAAATAGCCATCTCACCGTGAAGAGGATAGAGTGCAGAAGGAGGAGCTCGCCATACCTCTCACCCGCAACAACGCAATACCTGAAGCTGTTGCATTAGATCTAATCTGTTAGTGAGTGTTTTCTGGCAGGGTTATAAAAAGTAAAGTATTTCTATCTCAGAATCCCTACAGAATTTCATATTTTTCTTGCACAGCCTTTTCCACTATCTAATGAGCTCATGATCTCAGACTCCAGAGCTCGAAGTTTGACCGTAATCTGATGCCCTTTGTGTTCGTCATTGACTGGAAGGAGTTTGATCTCCGTTTCGGCAAATACACTAAATTTGTGCTTAGAAGTGGTATCTTGATGCTGAACATCAAAACCAACAGTTTTTATTTGTATTGTTCACGTGCGGTCAGTTGAGATTTCATTTTACGATGCAGCCATACGAATACTTTTGCAACAAGATGTTTCTAGAATCACAGCAGGTAATACAGTATACTACAGTGTATTTCAAAAGTATGTGCACACCCAACATTTTATTTTTTTGGGAATACCATCGCTTTCTTTAACCTGTGACCTTCTCTGTTCAATTCCTTGTGTGGGATAACCCAGGAACACTTACTCTGAGAAAATATCGCAACTGCTATCACAATTTTTTATTAACCCATTGCGTACCGCGTGCTTCACATGGTGCAGCACGCTACTGTTTTGGCCCTTTTATCTCTGTTTCACCTTTTTGCGCTCCAAAAAAAAGTGAGTATACATATATGACCCTAGAGAGTAATATATGTACGTGGGACTGCAAGATCTGAAGTAGTTCTAAACGGAGCATTTCTGGTAAGATGATTGAAAACAACTAAGGCAAAAAAATTGACCACATTTTGAGCACTTTGTGTTCACTAACACAGCGTGACTTCTAGCATACGTAGCACCACGAGTTCGAGAAGCGTTCTTGTAGCAATTTACGCATCTTTTCCTAGATTTACTTTTTGGTCCACTATCTTCGCAAAGTTTGGGTCTTGACGTTGTGGGTTCTGCAGGTCTCCATCCTTCCAGAATGGACTCAATGATGCGGCTCTTGAACTCTTTGGTCGAAATTCTTTCCTTCACTACGCAAAATACATG